ACGAAACACAGCATCTTCACAACATGGCGGCAGCAACAATACTACAGTAAGAATAAAAGCTACGCCTTCTTTCTTTGCGTGAACATTTGAACTTTGCATGAACAAATCTTCCCACATCGTGACACAGACATGTGGGGGCGTGTTAGAACGAGCCGTTTTAGGTAGGCGTGGCTGACTCTTAACTTTTATAATTTAAAGGAATTATTCAAAGCAGTAACACACAAATCACTTTATTTTCCTTATAGAGCTGCAGCTGCGCTTCTTTTCGTTTACACACTAGTCGTGTACGAACTGTGAAACGGGGGGTATTCCAAAAAGCAGGTTATGTGACATACCCGGGTATGTTTGAGGATAAGTGAGCGGATTATCTCAGCTTTTGGTTCCAAAATCGGAGGTTACTTTCCGGGTATGTAAGTAACCATAGTAACTTGCTCTCTGAAGATAACCTGCTCCGGAGCAGGTTATGTTCCAGGGTTAGTTCACTTCAGTGCTATCAGCGGACGTGTGATCTACTGACGAGCCTTCAGTGGGTGTGACAGATAACGCACAACACTATATAATATTACAATATGTAATATAGCCTATTATATATATATATCTTAGAGAAGTAGCTCCGGTTGGAATGTTCTTCCGCGGGATGTGTGCAGTTCTGTTTATTAACCACTAGAGCGCCAAATAGTGCTGCTTTAATTGTACTATAAATTATACTACAATTGGAATATACTGTAAATTGATCAACTGTTCGGCGTGATGACAGCAACCGTCTTTAAGAAACGTAACGGTTTTAAAAAATCACAAGTGGGGTGTAAGTGGTGGTGTGTTTTATGTCGTACAATAAAATGTGAAAGTATCTTGAGCTTGTGTGAACAATGGACCTTATTTTAGGGGATTTAACCAAACTCCCATTCAAAAAATCCATTGACTCTGGGACGATGGAACCGGAAGTGCTAAAATGCTAACTCGCTTCGGGGTTTTTACCTACAAAGTGACATCATAGTTCCACCACTCTATTCAGCTTTTCTATAAGCGCCACCTGCTGTCAGTGAGTGGATTTACAGAGACTTGCATTTACATTCAGGTTGTGTGCAGCAGTTTTTGTCTGGCCAAAAAAAAGGACCTAATTTGCATGCCCTGCTGTAAATTTTGACCGGTTGATGAAAAACAAGCTTATGTGGATTCTACACATTTAAACAATAAGGTTTGTAGTATTATTTATGGAGCAGATAAATACATATAATCATTTATTAATCAATAATTTAAAAGCTGAAGCTTTATTTAAAAGCTGAAATGTGAGGTTTACCATTTATGAAACTTTTTCAAAGCTTTATTTATTTCTGAACATTTCCAGCACATTTTAACAATACCGTGGTAATACTGATAACCGTGATCATTTTGGTCACTATAATCGTGATAAGAAATTTTCATACCGTTACATCCCTAGCTGACGGTAATTTAACCGTGCTTTCTGAAATACACCCCAGACCTAAAGTGAAACCAAGCAAAGTCCCCTTCTACTCAAACTACATAAAAAGTTATAAAACAGTGTACAACCCTGAAACAACAAAATATAAAAATATACCCATTGCAATGTTTATATTATAAAAACTTACTTTAGCGCCCAACCTTTCCATTTAACCAGGTACTCGATTTGACCCTACAAAGAGAAAAACAGAGGAAAATGTTCTTTATTTAACACTAACTAAACAATGCATGAGCAACACATGCTCTACTTCAAACCCCATGCCCATTTATTTCATTTTTGGGGCTCATTAAAGTATGTTTATGTAAATATACACTACTACAGCTCATAACACCTTAAACCATGTGGCACGACACTACTGTGCAGTATTTAAACTACTCGACCCTCGTGCATTGTTGAGATCTTTGAATCTTGGGACAGCCAGCATGCATTGATTTTGCTATGGACTCATGCCAGGCACTTTGTTCCTTTTTAGCCTCCTCCTGCTGCTCTTTTAGCGGTCTGCTGTCAGTTCCCAGCACAGCACAACCCAATTTTACCAAATAAATCTCAAGTTGCATATCCAAATGTCCCACATTCGACTTGTTATTTCTAATCTGACAATGCAAGTAAATGTATTGGGTCGCAAAATCGGGAAACATCTGCAAGTAGGCCTCGCCCTCTTGTCATTGCCGGGCGCCTTGAAGCTCCGCAGCGCGAGACAAGCGAAAGACGACCCTCTCTCCGTACTTTACACCGTAAAAACATTTCCCAACCCCCCTAAAACCCCATTCTTCCTTACTCACTTTCCTAACGCGGCTTTTCAGAATAGCTTCCGCGGGGAAAACCTGCTCTCCAACCGTCGACACCTCCATCTTTTCGGCGCGCTCGCTCCAGACGGCTCTGTCTAGCCCCTCTACACTCTACATATCTCTGACAGCAACAAACCCCCGCGCTGTCACGTGCTCCGGGTCAACTAGCCCCGGTAATCCTAGAAACGGCGCGAAGGGTAATGAAATATTAGATCATGTCCCCATAATATACATCTTGATACATAAAACAGATTAATAAATCATTTTTAAAGATACAAATAATTTTAGTTTTCCCATATCTCAATAATAGAGTGATGAATTAAAAATTTTTTTTTTTTGCTGGTTTGAGCAGATGTTGCCGTGCCACCCCATATAAATTACGTCTGCAAGATGTCTGTTAAAGATCACTTCATCTGGAAAGCATCTGCTGTGTAGGCTACAAACATCCGATTGCCCTGGTATTACACATACATCACTGAGACGTCTATTTGATCTGCATTTACATCTGCAAGACATATTTTTAGAGTGTTTGCTCATTTACAATACGTCTATAGGACGTTCCTATCAGATGTCTAATAGACGTTTAGAAAATGTCTCTAAGATGTTTATGATTTAGAATGCATGTAAAACTGACATCTTAGAGACGTTGATCAGATGTTTGTAAACAGCTAGATGAAGCGATCTTTAACATACATCTTGTAGACGTGCGTGTGCTATATCGGAGGCGTCTCTAAGATGTCAGTTTTACATTCATACTAAATCATAAACATCTTAAAGACATTTTCTAAATGTCTATTTGACATCTGATAAGAAAAGTCCTATAGACGGCTGCAGATGAGCAAACACTCTAAAAAATACATCTTGCAGATGTAAATACAGACATCAAATAGATGTCTCTGTGATGTACGTGTGCTATCAGGGGGTTCAGTGCAATAATTTTGATTTTGTACCTGAAAACCATGGAAATCTATTAGTATTTTTTTTTCTTTGTGAAACTGAGATATATATCCCCTGATAGCACATGTACATCACGGAGATGTCAATTTGACGTCTGCATTTCAGGCATTCTTGAGACGTGGGACAAAACAGGTCCAGCAAGGGTAACTGCTATTAGCTTTAAAAAATAAAAATATTTTCAATTTTAAATGTCATGAGGGATTAATAATAGAATGTATTTAACACAATTATCACCTTCAATTTAATTTTCTCATTATTATACCAAATCTGTGTTTCTTAACGTCCTCTCTCTACATCTAAAACAGTGTGTCCACAGAGAAGGGTTCAATCATTCATATGCAATAAAATGGATAAAAATGTTTTTTTTAATGATGAAAAAGAGCTTGTTTTATCAAAAGCAACACTTAATAATATCTCCTATCAAAGCAAGGTTGTTTTTTAATGACACATGCATGTTTAATACGTTGTTGACACTTTTTGTCAACACCGTCAGACATTCAATAAAATGTAATAAAATCAGGGAATATCAGGGGCAGCTGTCACTCTAAAGGACCCCCTTGCCACAGTTCACCTCTGCAGAGT